TTATTATTATTATTATTATTATTATTATTATTACTATTATTATTATTATTATTATTATTATTATTATTATTATTATTATTATTATTATTATTATTATTATTATTATTATTATTATTATTATTATTGTCATTATTATTATTATTGTTGTTATCACTGTTATTATTATTGTCATTATTATCGCTATTATTATTATTTTTTTCCAAATAATAAGATAGTGTTATTTTTAAGATCAATCAATTATTATTGTTAATCAATTTCCAGTATTAATCAGTCAATCTATTCTTAACTTAATTTATTTATTTCAACACAGCGGTGATATATGAAAGATAAAAATGTTATATTTGCAATTTCTACTCATTTGAATTACAAGTCTTCCATTTTTTTAGTTAGATATTCTTCCTTTTTTTTTAATGCTTAATCGATTAACAATATTCAGTCTTTTATTTTTATCGTTTTCTTTTTCAACCATTTCCGATTAATTAATCTGAAACATATTCCGGACAGTTGTTCGTTTGCATGTGATATTTTTCGTTCAACATTTTTTGCCATCAGTTTCTCATAGTCCATCTTTCCGATTGGAAAAGAATTTTCAAAAGGATATTTAAAATCATAAAGGCAAACCGGTAAAACATAATTATTTCAGGTAATTTTTCTTTACTCAAGAAAAATTGATCAGAATAATCGGAATTAAAATTAGATTTTATTCTAAAATAAATTTGCTTTATTTCTTTAACTTGATATATTCTCAATGTCATAAACCGCATTATTCTGGTTCATTGCTTCTACGATATGCAAATTCTACGGAAGTACATGAATCCGGAAATCCGGTTTATATGTTCTATGACATTCTACTTCACAAAGGTTTATGTTATTTCTGCATTCATCCATTCATAAAATATCCTTACTTACAAAAGAATTTTGCACTACTTTAGAATCTACCGGTTTCGGAAACCACATGAGCAGGAATTAATTTATGCTGACATTTGCAGTGACCCATTGATCTTATATAATACAAATATATTGGTGGAAAAAAAAATTCTTGAAAATTCCATCAGGCCTTAAAAAATCCTTCCATACGACATCAGAAAATTTTTCCGGTCCATCTTTCCCCAATATTTCCAGTAAATTTCGGATGAAACTGAATTAATTCATTCAAGCAATATCAGTAGGATATCGCTTTCCACTTTCTTCCAATATTTCTCGTAAATTCCAGAAAAAATATCAATTAATTCATCCTTACAACATCAGGAAAATATATCTCTTCCGCTTTTTCACCTTCATTTGTCCAGCAATTCCAGAAAGGAATTTAGTCGATCTATTTCATAATATCAGGAAAATTTTTCGTTTCTCTTTATGCCAGTATTTTCTAACATGTTCCGGAATACACATATTGAATTCTTCCTTTCAAAGAATATCATCCGGAAGAAATTATATTTCATATGAAATTGTTTTTGTAGCAATTAGAATAAATAATTTCTTACATCATAATCACTACTACTCGTCTTTCTCTTCATCACTTTGCAATTAAACCTTGAAAAAGAAAATTAGCTAATTACTAGCATTTACAACCTTTAAAAAAAAAAAAAAAACAAAATAACTAATTATTTATTGAAAAGAT